TTTTTTTTTTTTTTTTTTTTTTTTTTTTTTTTTTTTTTTTTTTTTTTTTTTTTTTTTTTTTTTTTTTTTTGTTGAGATTAGCTTTGCATATGATAGAATTTTGTTGGATAGCATTTTGAAGTGTTGCAGAGCTGTGGCTGCTGCTGTTATTATGAATTTAATAGCATACCAACAATGTTTTAAATGAGCTACTGTTATTGTGAATCATTTGGTAGAAGGAATGGATATCCAGAATTGGCTGTGGCTTTATTGATTTTGAGGGATTGAACAGATTCCTGAGCCGTTCTTCATATTAAAAAAATGGTTATTGATACATTAACCCAAGAATTTGTATATGATTGCTAAGATTGAGATGATGGGGGACAAAATTACAATTCAGTCTCTAAATTGTGTGTCTGGGTCGTTGAGTATCTCTAAAATTTTAATTTTGTGTTAAATATGTTCGACTTATTCAACTTTGTTTAAAATTTACATACCTATTAAACAGTGAATTGTGGATGATGGATGGAACGTATAGTCCTATCAAACATGATAAAAAATTTTAAAACTTATGAGATACAAAAGTACGTCGCTTTTTCTCCAAATTAGTGTCTATTATGCAAATTACGCTTTTTCTCCAAATTAGTGTCTATTATGCAAATTACAGAACCGTTTGCTTATGCAACGCACATTCATCTAGAATTTCTGGACAACGATTCTCATGGACATGGCTATGACGTACCATCCTTTCGAGAATACAAAAATTTTACTATAGAAAAACCTACTACTACTATAGAAAAATCTCCTGGCTTTCTTTTGAAATATGTAGCAAGAAAGAAATCAAAGAACATTTGCAAAAAAGACAAGCCAATGTTGTTTATGGTAAACTGTCTAATATTTTTACTTCCTAAAGTTATACCTCCCTCATTGTAAATTGGGAAGGTCTTTTGTAACCACAATGAATAATAAGTTTAAAAACCTATTATACTCCGAACTTTGGGTTGAAATGGAATATGTCCAGTTTTTTAACATAAAGCTGGTTTATTTTTTTGCTCATCCCCTCAGCAACATGTAAAAATATAATAGACGTCTTCGCCAATCCATGCTTTGTCAGTCTCTCTATTGTGCAATGTCGTCTCGGTCACATTCTCAATCTTGCTCGTGCTCTATTGCTCTCGCTCTTGATAGGATTCTTGATTCTGAAAGTGGAGAGAAGCAGAGAGGACACAAAGAATAAGGGAAGAAAAGAGGAAAGGTAAGAACAAGAAGGAAGGAGAGGGGGAGGGAGGAGTGAGACAAAGGGGGGAGGAAGAAGAGGAGAGAGGGAGAGAATTTGTTTTGTTTTAACCAAGTGAGCAAGGCGATAAAATTCAAGAAATTGAGTGGACTCAAAATTTTGAGTCATTCAGTTACATTATTCAAAAAGTTTAAGGATTAAGCTTACAATTTAAGCATACTTACAAACAAATTAGTACGATTAAACTTCATTGCAATCAATCTCAAGATACGTTTCTTATCTCCTAAAATTATATTCTCTACAACAAATCGTAGAACAAAAGTGTAATGTAATCACAAAAGCCTAGGTTTGGAATTGATTTCATTTTTCAATCCACGTGCAATTCTCTTTAAATCTTTTTAAACTCACAATATAGTAATAGATATCTTATTCACGATGCTAGAATAGCAAACTTATAGTTAAATATTATTTGCTTTTGGCGTATTGCTACATATAAATCCACATATATCTTTTTTACATTTACACAATTAGATTAATTTTCAGATCAATAGCAAACAGAAGATTAGTGTAATATACATTAAGCTCAAGTGTTGTTTTACTCCAATTCTTCATGTTCCTAAATGCAAATTCTACTAGACACCAACCTACTAGTCAAAAATTGAAACATGTCTTGAGCACTATAAATATAGCACTATCCTGCTGGACTTGTATGAATTTCTATATTGATTCCTCATGCAAAAAAATTCAGTGTTAAATGAACTCAGCTTGAAAAAAGTACCTTGAACTTGATGGGGGAAAAGCCATAAAGGGATCCCGAGCTTCTTTTGGAGAAGATATCATATAATTCAAGTCCCACAAAGACGGCTGCTTCGCATGAGAATACACCTATTATATGAAAAGAAATGAAGGGATGTGAGACTGTACCAGCAGTATACAGTTGGATTCATGAACTAAGTCGAAGTGCTTCACTGCTTCAAGTATTGTTCAAAAGTTTTTACGTTGTTGAGAAGAAAAGCATTTATAAGCTATTAAAGAAGTCTCAATAAGCTTTTATCTCTTACTCTTTTCCTCAGTAAATAGGTGTCGGCTAAGAAGCAAAGTTGCTTTACGAATAGGTTCTGACAATGGAATAGCTTATCTCTTACTCTTTTTCTCGATAAATAGGAGTCAGCTAAGGAGCAAAGCTGCTTTACTGATAAGTTTAGACAATAGAATAGCTTCTCTTTCTTTTTTTCTCAGTAAATAGGTGTCGGCTAAGGAGTAAAGCTGCTTTACCAATAAGTTCAAACAATGGAATAGCTTATCTCTTTCTCTTTTTCTCGGTAAATAGGTGTCGGCTAAGGAGCAAAGCTGTTCTACCAATAGGTTCAGACAATGGAATTGTGAGACTGTAAAGGAGAGGAGCGAAGCTACTTTACCAACAGGTGAAGGAGCGAAGCTGCTAGACTTTTTACCTTGCTGATTGACTAATATTTGTAGCGTTTTTAAGCCGTGTAGCCACAAAAGATATGCACCAGCTGTAACTCTTGAAGCTTCAAAAGATATGCACCAGCTCTAAGCCGAGTAGCCACAATTGATTGATGATTCTCCAGAAGAATCTTCTTGATCGATAACTAAATTAAGTAAAGCATCTGAATAAATCATAGGTTTCTAACTTTTCAGCAAATGGCATCGGTAAACCTTCCATTGATACACAACAACCACCGGGAGAAATCAAGACAGGCCGCTTTTCTATCTACTTGATCCGACTAAAACACACAGCGAGGCTCTGATATCAAACGTCATGAGTCCATCCTACCTTCAAAAACCACACGATCCATGATTCCAGATCATGGCCATCCACCATTTACATTTCCATAGTCATCTTCAAGCACATAGAGAAGTTTCCTATAAGTATGACCATCCACAAGTTCCTTCTCCTGCACTTCCCTCAACAAACTCGTGGCTTCTCCAACCCTCCCTCGCCTGCACAGTTCATCCAATACCGTCTTATATGTAATAAAATCAGGAGACCTTCTATTACCAATCATCTCCCACAAATAATTCACTGCTTCTTCAACCTCTCCATTGAGAGCCATAGCATTAACAATTGAATTATATGATATACTACTTGGCACAAACCCCTTTTCCTTCATTTCATTGCACAACTCCCTCGCATTATCCGTTCGCGCTTGCGCGCATAACCCGTGAATCAAATAATCATAGGAAAATGAATTTGGGAGGCTACTATAAACAACACCCATTTGGTGGAAGATCCTGAGAGCATCATTGACATGAAGGGATAGCACATACCCCTTTATCATACAATTTAAAGTAAATATGTCAGGTTCAATGCCATCATTCACCATCTGTCTGAAGAGGCATCTAATAGTCTCCATATACATGAGATTTATATAAGCATTACGACCCCGACTCAAGAATGCAGTAAAAAGCAGATTATAGGTTCTAATTGAAGGCCTACAGTTCAAGTTTTTGTTGTTCTGCATATGCTTAAATATATTGATAGCTCTAGTCAACTTCCTTGCCTCAGTAAAAAAATATATCATAGTATTGTAAAGAGTCTCAGAACCAATAGAAGGAACAGCAAGCACCTGATTCACAACATTATCCATTTCTTCGTACATTTTCGCCTCACCCAGCTTCTTAATTGTAATCTCATAAGTGGAAACATCATGTCTGAAACGAGACTGCTGGGAGGCCCAATTGAACAGTTCAAAGCACACCAAAGGATCTCCCTGAACAGAAATGACATTATAGAGTTCTTCGGAGTTAAACCTTGGAGGGATTTGAGAAATTGCGTGCTGAAATTGAGCCTCGTTCAGCTTAGGTTTGATTCTGGATTTCAATCTCTTACTCGCTCTCCTCCTAAAGGATCTTGAAGGTGCACTATTAGAGTAGAAATTCAAACAAAATTTCGTAAAAGAGAGGACGGGAGCTGGATAGTTTTGGATTTGAGATAGACGGAGAATATGGCTGAAGTTACCATGATCAGTATTCAAGAACCATGAATGAAATGAAAATCTTCTGAGACAAACGAAATGTGGATTCGATGGAATCGAGTTACAGAGCTGGTTAATGGAATTCCTCAAGAACTGAATGCGAATGCGAAGGAGGAGATTCATATTCTTCAGAACACGAAATCAAAAACAAAAAAAATCTCAAAACAAGATCAAAATGAAACTGAACTTCGAGAATTGAAGAGAGATTATAGCACAAAAATACAGATTTTCAGACGATTTGCTGCGAATTTTTGGTAGAAATGAAACAGGGCGCTCCAAGAAGGGAGAGGCGGACAATAGGTTTTAAAAATTTAGGGAAAAAAAAATCTCTTTTATTTACTTAGTTTTTAAACTCGGTTCCAATTTTAACCTTTGTCGTTCTTATCGAGACGACGCTCTTATCCGACTGGCTTACCCAGGCAAGGACATAGTCTATCGTAGCTAGCCGAGCCCAACATGAACTAAGCTCGTTATACACCAATCTGTAGATTTATGGGATGGTCTAATTGGGATGACTATTCATAAAAAGGTTGCCCAGGGGTCCGAGTATATCTAGTGAGTCTCACCGAGGAGTTCTTAAAGGCGGGTGATCCTATTTAGTTATCTCTAACGAAATATTCTCTCTAAGTTGGTCTATCTTCCGAAGGAGTTTCAACGATCCCAATCTGTAGCTATTTCTTACACCGTTCAAGCATGGATGATCCAACAAATTCAGGGTTAAGCTTGGATTATTGAGATATGCTGACTCCTTTTTCTAGTCTGTTTATTCTCGTTCTCATTTGCCATTACATTTCCTCCCGCTCTCTCTCTCAACAAAGTTATAATATGTTTATAGAAATTTACTACATGGAATTCTCGTTCTTATTTTTGTTGTTCAATCATAGCTCGTGGTCGCTCTCGATCTCATTGTCAAACTTGATTTCTTCAAATTTTTTGTTACTGCTTGTACTCTATTATCAATTTCGTTACACGAGTACTTTTCGAGGCCATCAATCTTACTCTCACTATCGTTTCCACTAATCTAAATAGCCTTTTACATATTAGGTAAGTATTCCAATGCTCGTGACATACAACATGCATGAAGTCCCATAGTTTCTAACCATGGTACATAGTTATGATGCAAACCATACTTTCGTTCCGTTTATGACATAACGTCCCGATGAAACATGCATATGTATACTCGACATATTTATCATGGTTAACATACATTGTTCATCAAGGTCTTATAGTCATAATGTGAACATACTGTCATAATATACATGGCGTGGCATACTAAAAGTATATGCATCATAAACATTTATATCATAATGTAATGTATATACATAACACACTATAGCATCCTAAAAATATGACACGTAAAGGGGCCGTAGGGTATGTATCATTCATATTAAACACAAGTCATCCGACCAAGTCTATGGGTATCCAACCGTAAGACCACTTACTTTGTTGGCCTAAATCGGAGTCATCATACTTTCTTAATGCTAACTTGAATCTATTTCCTGAAATCCAAAGAGTCCCACAATATCGGGTTAGAGACATATTAAATGATTTAACTTAACTTCGACATCAATTAATTCAACTTTTGGTTTAATGATACTTTAATTGGCTAAAGAGTTGTCATACGGATTTTAAATAATAGAAAATGATCCATCATTCCAATCTAAGACATCTAAGTTGTCTAAGTTGAGTCGAAGCTAAGCGAAGCCAAGAGTGAGTCGAGCGTAGGACGTCAGTGCGAGCCATGGTTAGGAATGCGGCTAGATAGAGCCGCAAATGCTGGGAGTCAGCTCAAGTCGCGTGCGGGTTGTGGGTTGGGTCAATTAGGATCGTCGATTAGGTTACTAGATCGGGTCGGTACAGATTGTTGATCGAGTCGATTGTAGTTTGGAAGTTTGGCCACAGGGTGAAGTGGATAGGTTTCAAGAAGTTGGTCGTGTTTATAGGCTTAACACGTTGTTGAAGACACAAGGCAAGAGTATACGGTGTTAAAATATAAACTACAACAAAGTTCGGTTTGCAAGAGAAGAGGCACATGCATCCCGTTACCATTTTTTAGATCCAATCCACTTTGAAAGTGAAAATCAAATACAAATATAAACACTTACGAAAGAAACCGGATCCAAAAACGTTTCAACCCAAAAAAATGTGTTAGTTTATGCAAATTTGTAATAGCTCAAGTCCCCCACTAGCAGATGTTATCCGTTTTAGTTCGTTACATCACTCTCAGCCTCACGATTTTAAAAATCGTATGCTAGATGGAAGTTTCCATACCATTATAAGAAATGCTTCGTTTTTCTCACCAAACGATGTGAGATCTCATGATCCATCCCTCTTGAGGGCCCAGCGTCCTCGTTGGCACACCGCCAGTATATATTGTCTAGCTCTGATACTATTTGTAATAGCCCAAGCCCACCGCTAGCAAATATTATCCGTTTTGGTTTATTACGTATCGTCGTTAGCCTCATGATTTTAAAACGCATCTGCTATGGATAGGTTTCCACACCCTTATAAAAAATGCTTCATTTTTCTCACCAACCAATGTGGGATCTCACGATCCATTCCTCTTGAGGGCCGAGCGTCCTTGTTGACACACCCTAGCAAATATTGTCTGGCTCTAATACCATTTGTAACAGTCCAAGCCCACCACTAGCTGATATTGTCCACTTTAGCCCATTACCTATCGTCGTCAGCCTCATTTCATATTAAGATCAAAACTACATACAATCAACTTGGGAAATATTAATTTTCTTGACCAACAAATTTATAAAAAGAGATCAAATATTTTGTGGTTCAGTCTTTTACAAACTCATTGTGTAAGATATCTACACTCAACTCTACATGAACCGTAACAACCAAGCTTACCGCTAGTAGATATTGTTTACTTTGACCCATTACATATAGATGTTAACCTCACGGTTGTAAAACTCGTCTGCTATGGAGATATTTTGCACACCCTTACCAGAAATGTTTTACTCCCCTCTCCAATCGATGTGAGATTTTAACGATTTAAATCAAATCATTTGTGGTAATTACAAAGTGAATCGTATCAATATTATTATCAGGGATAAGACACTCAACCATATCTATGTTATTATAGACCATTTATGAGATCCCACATCAATTGGAGAACGGAACGAAACATTTTTTATAATGGTGTGGAAATACCTCTCCTTAGTAGATGCGTTTTAAAATCGTGAGGCTAACGGCAACATGTAACAGACCAAAATAGACAAATATCTACTAGGGGTGAGTTTAGACTATTACATCATTTAAGTTATTGTTTGAACATTATACCCTCATATGTCTCGATAGTTTCTTACTTAACTCCACTCTATATTTCTTTCCTTTTTATTTTTTGTTTCTCGGGTTTGTTTTGATACTAACCTTTATTCCACGTGTACTATTCTAATACGAAAAATTAAAAATTTATAGGAAAAATTGATATAAGGTTGAATAATTTAGAGGTACGGAAAAGAATAATCAAATATGTATATTATATTTTCCCTTTATTTATGTAACGTGCAATTAAATTTGGCCCATCAATGTCCCTTTCAACAAGGTTGGTATAAATACCTTTCTTCCCCAACTTTGGTCACAAGTCAAAATAGTTGGGCGACCATAGTTTTTTTAAAATTAAAAAATATATATATATATATATGAAAGTTTTTTTTTTAATTTTTAAAAAATATTTTACTTCTTTTTTCACGGTTTCGTTAAAAAATACTCTTACTATTAACATATGAACAAAAATTATTAATATTTCGTAATTTTTTTTTCTTGAACCTTTAAAAATTAAATTGAATTCTTTAATTTTTTAATAAAAAGTTTTAAGAAATGGTCAACTCAGTATGAATGGTAAGTCATTTATATATGGTCTAACGTTTATGAGTTTTGTCATAATATAAATCTAAATAATTTCAATAATTAAATAATCAATTTCTTTATCCAGAAAAAACCCAATTATTATTATTATTATTATTATTATTATTTTGTAGTTTTTTTCCTCAAATTTTTTTCAACAACCAAACAGAATAAAAAACGTCTAGCTAAAATATAAAATCCCATAATCTCAATAAATAAATAAATAAATAAAAATCCCTTCAAAACTAAGCAAAATATGACCCAATTAAAAAAAATATATATATATATATATGTATGTATGTATGTATATATTTGAGGGTGGAAAATGGTCTTTCTTGACGACAACAAATGACTGATTGGAACGGTGAAAAAAGATCAACAAAATCTTTATCGCTACAAATTTGGTAATGCACGTGTTTTCTTTATTTTTTCCCGTCATTGATTATCTTTATAATCAAATTTTCGAGTAGTCTAGTCAATAGAAAAAGCTAATTAAGGACTCCGTGCATTTATAAAAAGTATTTAAAATATATAACTTAAAAAATATAATTAAATTTTGAAAAGTTTTATTAATATACTTACTTTTAAAAAAACTTAAAAACCTCCCTAAACTTAAAAAAAAATTAAAAAATATTCACGACTTTTAAAAAATCATATTAGAAAGTCGAAATAATTTATGCCGTGTCTTAAACAAATTATTTAATTTTTTTTATAAACTTAGAGGGTATTAATGCCACTTTTAAAATTCTGTAAGATTTTTTAAATATCGAGCCGTATTTTTTTTTAATATTTGTTTCTTAAATGGAAGAATATTAATGAAACTTATTAAGGTTTAAAAGATAATTTTAAAATACTATTAAAAGTAAGGGTATTTTTGAAATTTTGTTAAAGTTTAAGGATATTATTGAAAGTTTAAAAAATTTAAGGATATTTTAAATAAAATATCATATTTAAGGATATTTTTATCGCATTTTGATAAATTTAAAAATAAAATATGCACATGTTCTTATTCTTATTATTTTGCGAGAGAATTATTTATAATTCACTAATTATTCGAATTTCCACGTGTTCGAAGAAAAATACAAATCCATTCCGTTATTCTATTCTTGTGTTCACATGTGAATAAGACACCAATCTACGGCCGCGACAAGCCCACGTCGACAGGGGTAGTTTGGTAGTTTCGTATGCCCAGTTTTCCTCATCGATTTTTTTTTTCTTTTTAAAAAAGATTCGATATAGATTAAAGGCGCATTTAAATGGTGGGGTACTCCTAACTTTCCCCTCCTTTTTGTCCATTTTTAATTTATTTTATTTTTAAAGCTTTTAAAAAATTATTGACAGTATTTTAGGAAATTTAATTGATTGGTAAATTTTAATTTTATATTACAATATATATATATATTAGTTTTTATAAATTAATTATTTAGAAATTTATAGGATTTAAATTAAGTTATTTCTTTAATTTAAATTATTGTAAACAAAATTTTTATAAAATAATTATGAATAAAACGAAATTTAATAATGAAGATACGAATAATTATAGAATTTAAAGTTTATTTAACCAATTTTAAAGATAAACCAAATTAAAAAAATTATATATGAAGTATTAATATCATATTACTATTAATCAATTATAACTTTGCAGTTTTAATATAATACGTGTATGTTTTACCATTTTTGTTGATAAAATTATAATTAATTAAGTGATAATTAAATAAATTAATTTAATTACTGAAAATAATTAAACAAGTACAAATTAATAAGAATAATAAAATAGTATATTAAATAATTAAGATAGCATAAACTATTAATTATAAATATATTGGTTAAAATTTAATAAGTCTAAATAATATATTAATATATTAATAATTAATTATTTAATTAACTAATTAGGATATATTTTTTACCGTTTCAAATATTAAAAACTCATGTTTGGAATTTTAAATTCCTAATAATAATATCCTATATTTGAAAAAAGAAACAGAATTTAAAAATTTTAATAATAATTCTTTTATTTATTTTTAATTAACTGAAAAATAATATTTGGGTCAGTAATAAAATCTAATAAATAATTAAAAATAATAAGGTGAGGCAAATTAAATCAATTTGAAATGAATTTACAAACTCTAATCTCAACCTAAATAGATCATATATATCATAAAAAAAAATAGATCATACCATATCATAAAAGTTTTTTTTTAATGTAAAAAAAACAACTACAAATTATTTTTCGAGACAGAATAATAAATTAAAGTAATATAAATAAAATAATAATATATAAATATTAAAATTTACGTTTTTTAACCTTATATTATATTTTTGTTTGTCAAATATAATTAAATTATTTACTTGGGTCATTTATTTATTTTTTATTTATTTTTATTTTTTTCTTTGTGTAAAATAAAAAATTAAAAAATTAAAAAGCAATTATTTGACTCCAAAATGTGCCCGGCTGGTTACTGATTTTAGGGGAAAAATCGTGCGAACAACATCTAGGGAAGTTCGATGACGTGTCACAATAAGAAGCATTCTTGTACACGTTATCTTCAAATCTGAGCCGTCGAATTAATTAAATATAAGAAATGATAAATGATTAAATAAGTTTAACGAAATGAAAATTACTTACGAGTACAGCGTATCGCAGCCCGGACATGTTCTCCGTCATAAACCGGAATGGATAATCGCCGATGAGTCCGAACTTTGTAATTGGAGGGGGATTGGTTCTGGTTGGGGTTTCGGTCAAAAAGAAACACTAGCGCTAAAGGACAGGTTCGAGTGGAGAAGTCGGCGTGGGCGACCCGAGCGTTTCTTCATCAATATACGGATTTCAATTCTTCTTCCACTTTGTAGAAATCCAATTTTCCTTTAGGTAACTTCGCAATCTGATTTTACGCTATCTATTACTTCAATTGATTGGTGGCTTGTTTTTTTTTGATCAATTATGCTTGAATTTTGTATGTGAATCTGATTTTGTATTCATTTTGGTTGTTTTCATGAGATCAATCGCAGTTTTGAGGACCATGCGTTGTTGGTGTGTGTTGAGTTGCTGATAAAATCGTCTTTTTGGCTCATCATCGTTGGGGATTTTGCGGGTTGTTGCTTCGAAGAGATGGACTTGGTTGCTAATTGCAAGGTACTTGATAATCCTGGGTTTTAGTTCAATTTGTATTGTTTCAGTGCAGGTTGTAATTTTTGTGGCTGGTAATTTGAATTTGGGGATACTCTACTCATTTGTCTTGTCACTTGGCTTGCTTCTGGATTTGTTGCTGTAATGTAAGGTTAATGTCGACTTTTGGCTCTAAAATGTCGTTTAGCTATATTTCTAGGGGATTTGCTCCTCTGGGTTACTTTTTCTTCTTCTTTATTCTCTGTTAGCTTGAGATGATTGGGATGACACAAGTTTAACTTAGAGTTTGTTTTTTACATTTTTCTAATTACGCTCTTGATGTTTACTGTGATTGCTGAACACTGTTAAAATTCCTTGAATTCAATCAAGTGGCCAGCCTTTTGAGTGATTGAGTCTTTCAAGCTCCCATCTCACTTGGATTACTGTTGAACTATTTTTTACTATCAAATTTAAATGTAATATTGTTGATTAAACTATAGCCTTGAGTGTTGAACTAAGAGATCATAGAAAGTTAGCGTGACTTTTGTTTTTTATAATGAACCAAATAGGTATAGCAGGGTTTGGCCAGTTGAGTATTTAGGAAGGATTACTGTAGTTTGATTAGGTAGTCGTAATATCATTCCATCTAACTGCATCATTTTTTCAGGCCATTTATATTTCAATGCAGTATAGGATTGCAAAGTTCAGAAGAGAAGAAGTCTAGTTTTGGCTTAAATTGAATGCAACTCATCTAGAACAATACTTTAATCTTGTATAGTATAAGATTGAACACATGTTTATGATGTTAGTCTTAGTTGTCCAAAAGTCCAGTTTTTCATTTTCATTTTCTATTTGCTGGTTTATCTTCTTCATAAATTTCAAACTTCTTATTCATCATTTAAGAAACTCCAAAATTAGCATTACTAATTAAATTTGATTTTTTGGTGGTTGTAACTTTGGTTAGACAGAGTACATCTTTATCCTTCCTTGCATTGATTTTATTAGATCAATTTGGATATTATGAAGAAATTTTAATGCTACTGATTTGATTTCTACTTGTGATGTTTCATTTTCACTTGTAGGATAAATTGGCTTATTTTCGAATAAAAGAGCTCAAGGATATTCTCACTCAACTAGGTCTCTCAAAGCAAGGAAAGAAGCAGGTGAATTGTCTGAATGTTGAATGTTATTTTTTATTTTGATGAGAAACAGTCTTGTTGAGAGAAATGTAAGTAATACACAAGAATTCAAAGAGGGTTGAGGTGAATACAAAGGTCCAAAAGACAAGAAGAAAGCTATTATAAGAAGTCCTAATTGTTGGTTTCAGTATCATTATCTTGAACATGTTGTTTGATTCAAATTGTATAGTGGTACATTGGCAAACGTCTGATGGTGGTTTTTGACTTTTTCTACTTCTTGCGCAGCATGGTGCATGAACATATTTCATTTCTGCTGGAGTCTGGATGTCACTCAAAAAAAAAAAAAAAAAAAAAAA